CATGTTTTGAATTTTTACCCACATAGATTCTGTGCACATATTTAGTAGATTCTCTTCATTTTGTTGCAGTTTCTGTGGGTATTTCTTATTTTTTTGGCAGAAGTTATGATATAAGCTTTTACTCTACTCATGTATTATTACATGTCTTTGACAGAAAATGTTAATTGTGGTATTTCATCTTTTCCTGGTTTGTAATAATATCATCAAATGTCCTGACCAAGTTTTACCTGCATCATTACATACAGGCTTCTCTCCGGGCAGAACTGGAATCACTTAGCACTACTACATTTTACTATATTTATTCATTTAATTTCATTTCCATAACTTGATAGTCATGAGTCAGTAATAGCAACCCAGTAAATAGACAGAACCGATAGAGTCAGTCAGACTCAGTACTTATTTCTTGAGTGCAAGCCTTGTTGTGTAGCATTTTTAAACTATTGTGATACTTCTACTTGAGTAAAGTGTCTGGGTAATTCTCAGATTGGTGAGTAATAACTTTGTCCTTCCGTTACTGACAGTTTGTAACTTTGGAGCACTTCTGAGGTCTACTCTTCGTGCAAGGAGAAGAAAAACAGAAAAGAAAATGACAAACTTGACTCTATGGACCCGGCGTCTTCGGACAACCAGCCGAATGATGATCTAGAAACAAAATAATCTGCTCTTCTGATTTACAGCAGTTTTATATGGAAGCCATCCTCTCTGGAGCTCACTGATAGCAGCAAATGCCCTCCTGCAGCACAATGATTGTGATGTCATCCGACCTGACTGCTGATAGGCTGCTCAGCCAGGTCACTGTCACACACCGCACACACTCACAAATACACACTTAGCCTGGCCTGGAGGAGCACTGAGTTCAGGCCAAAGAGCTTTTCATCGTTGAGTGAGAATCACGTAATGGAGAGAGAGAAAGAGAGCACGACATGATCATTCAGGCTGAGTGTGTGTGTGTGTGTGTGTGTGTGTGTGTGTGTGTGTGTGTGTGTGTGTGTGTGTGTGTGTGTGTGTGTCCAATAGAGAGAGATTTAATCTTTAATCAGCGTTATTGTACCCTGCACACTGATATGGACACACAGTATATAATTACATCTGCTGCACTCGCACACACACAGGTGTCAGTGGGTGTATGTTTCTCGCTCCACTCGACACTACAGCACACTTTTACAAGTGTCCTGCGTCTTTGTGTTTTCAGCAACAAACTGGAACAGTCCGACAGGAAGAGTCACACAAAGATGCCGTGACAGCAGCTCTGCGTGGAGACTAATACATTTAGTCTCCACGCAGACGTCCAAACGTTCACAATGCATTTGAGAGATGTCGGGGTGGATTCGAAGCGGTGCCATGTCCCAGTTTAATGACCTGCTGCTGGCTGCTCCACTTTAACTCCTTTACATCTTACAACACGTTCTCGCTCTGCTGACCAGCAGCTTGACTTTAAAGAAGCGGGGCTTAACCTCTGAGGAAGCTCCGAAGCTGTTCCAGTCTCCTCCGATCAAACAGCTAAATGGGGTCGAGGCATGTGAGCTGTAACTTCACCAGCAGAAGGCGCTGCGAGAAATGCTGCTATTGTTCTGTTATAAAGAATTCAAATGCTTTTGATATATTTACTGGAATTAATATGTTAAGGGTTTGATCTTTATATTCAGACTAACAATTTAGGATCCTGTACATCAGGGGTCGGCAACCTTTCTGGTGATGAGTGCCATCTAAAATTTCCTTAGAAGTCAGTGTGCCATATGATTGCATTAGCAATAAATTTAATAATGCTCTATATGAACAGTTACACACTATATAGAAGAACTTCATAGCACTATATTTGTTCGTAGATGTTGGCAGCTATCAGCGAATAGTTATCAGCTATTTTGAAACAAAAAAAGACGCTTTTTATCCATAACAGCAAATGAACTGTACAACAGAAAATGCAAACGCTATTTATGGTCTCCTCACAACAATGATAAGAAAAATAAACTGGGCCAATATGGCATTTTTGTTAATACAGGGACACACATGTTAATGTGATCTCTGGTCTCCCACTCAGAGACACAGGTCTCCGAGTGTCCAGCTTTCAGACGGCTACCTGAGGACTCATGTGAGAGAAGATCTGCTCACACAGATATGTAGAGCCAAATACTGTCAATAAGGCCTCTGCAATGTTCTGAAGACAGTTCAACTTGTCAGGTAGTGATGTCCAGCAGGTGAAAATGCAAGCTCCATGAACACGCACAGCTGTGGATTCCAGCTGCTTCGATGTTGCATTAACTGGCATTAACTCAGCCAGTTAATGCGAGACAAATCTAACTGCTCATTAAACCTTTCTGGTTTGATCAGAAAAGGAAACATTGGTACAAACACCTGAAAGTCCCGAAAACACATTGTGAATTCTGTCTTGAGTCTACGGATGTATCCGTGTATTTCTGTGGTGCTGATGCTGTGCTGAGCAGAAAGCTCCTGAAGCATCGGAATGTGGAAAGCTAACAACGTCCCTCTCACCAGTAGGCTAAGTTATTTTTAGCCAATTACAAGTTGAATCTGGTACTTGGGGTTGTTAGTTAAGATACCGTCATTAAGAAGCAGCACAACTAATGTGTCTGTGCGAGCTAATTTGCGATGTGCACCGCTGGTGTGGCCATTTATTTTTTAATGCACCTTCTCAGATTAACTCACTGTGTGTCGTGCCCAGAGCTGGACTGGGACAGAAAATTGGCCCGGGCATTTTGACTAGAGACCGGCCCACCAGGTATTATAGGAAAAGCCATAAAGCCTTTGAATGAAAACAAACGCTGTTGTGACAGTGATGTACACTGTCTTGTTGGTATATGTATGATTTCTATACATTTTACATCAGATAAAAACTTTGGTTGTAAGCTTCAGATAATTATTTAATAACAGCCAGACATTTTAAATGAAAATAAGAAAGTATTTCTTTGTGCCCCCCTCTCCCTGTTAATGCCCTACATGCCCCCCTGGCAACACTTTGCTAGACCCGCCCCTGCACAGTTACCAGCTGTCAGCTACCTAAAAAAGGATCCTGGTGTTATTTGTCTCTCAGAAACAGTTCATAACTTCCCTTCAACTCATTCATGTCACCTAAAAGGTAAACCTGTTTCTCCATCACCTGTTCAGCTCTGATGATTCAGTAAGGACATCTCCTGGTTTCATCTTCATGTTTCCCTCTCACCACATATCTAAACAGACATCATGACCAGCAGGTTTACAGCTGTGGCTCCAGCAAACATCAGCTGATACTAGAGATTAATATAAAATAAATTCTAACAACAGCTGATCAAGCTTAAACGTGCTGCTGTTGTTTAGCGCAATATCCGCTGGTTTCCTCTTTCTGGCGCAAAGTGGGCGATAAACAAACAAGAGAGAAAAGCCGATCAGCTGATCATTGATCAGTTTCATGATTGAAGTAGAAACAGGAGAGGGAGGGGGAGAGAATGAGAGAAGAAGAGGCAGCTGTGCAGCGTAAAGGCAGAATAAATCCAGCTTTGTGTCTTTTTTTCATTCTAGCTGAAGTACGGGACAAGCTGTGTTCCTTTTCAGCTCAATACGAAACGCGTAATATTTTCTCTGAATACGGGACGATTCCGTCTTTTTACGGGACGGTTGGCAACTCTACTAACTTATGAATAAAATAAAGTTCATGCTAGCTAGTACGCAGTACGAGTTATTGTAACTAACTGTAAAAAGTCAGCACAACGAAAATAAACTCCACCTAAACTTGGTTTATATCTGACCCAGATAGACTGCAGGTCATAACTTCTTACCTGAAGTTCAGTTCACACTCGGACCGGCGGCTGCCTCGGGTCTCTCCTCCTGCCTCCCCTTTCTCTCATCCACCCGCTGGCCTCCACCACTTGCTAATGTTACTGAATCTGTGGAAGCTACGCCATAGCCACCACCAAACAACTGGGTTATTTTTATACACCGGCCAGCATCTGGCCAATCCACCACCTTTGATTGTTTATACCGTTACAAAAAAATAAATAAAAAAATCATCGGGCCACCGAGCAAATGCCCGGTGGCCCGATGGCCAGTTCAGCTATGGCCGTGCCATTAGTTATCCCTTCGTGTGCCAGCTGTGGCACGCGTGCCTAGGGTTGCCGATCCCTGCTGTACATTATCCACATTCTGTATCATATTCCATCAATACTTTACACAGAACACTTACACTGTATTGTATGACCTCATAATTTGTATTAATAGTTGACTTAGATATTCTTAAACCTCTTACAGATTTTTTAATGTTGTGGTTTTAATAAGGATTTTAAAATTCTGAATTTACATCTTTTCAGTCTAAAGACGATTGCTTTCAATTTGGGACCCAGCAATACTAAGACTAAACCAAACCATTAAATCATTTTATTTTATTTAAAAATGTTGAGGTATTCATATATATTAATTTCTATTTTAACTATAAGACAAGTCGGGCAATTACAAAAGTCACTGAGAGCTACTGGGAACCGTCACGAACTGCTCTGTTGAATTATAATCAATTTAACAGAGATATTTTAGAGTGAATGGACTCACAGCCTATACAACAGCAGCCACAGCATAGCTCACAATGCTGACATAACTAGCAGATGCTGAGGCGGAGCTAAACATACAGAGGCTGCGTAAAAAACTGCAGTGATGATGTCACTTCCGGGTTCAGTTTATCCTGTCAGACCTCAATCTCCAATCTAGCATTCACACACAGACACACACACACACACACACACACACACACACACAGTGTAACCTCTCCCAGGGGGCAGCAGCTGTTGATGATGATGAGCCAAAGTCACGCTTGCTCAGCAGACAGCAGTCAGACTTTACAAATTAACGTCCCGTTTAGCTCTTAATGCCCCTCTGGGTATCCTGACAACTGGCATGATGGTTGGCATGGGAGTGCAAAGTACAGACTAGTTATTTCCTCTCACGCAGGACACGAATCACCTGACTGTCAGTTTATGACTGAAAATGTGAGGCAAAACAAGATGTCGCCCTGGTCCTACCTGCAGTCGTGCTGGAAGGAGCGCTGAGGCCTGAACTTAAGCCGGGAGTCGGAGTTAGTCCTGCAGGCTGAAAACTGAGCCCTGTGACCTGGGGAAGAGACCTGGACTGGGCCCCTACTCATATCAAAGACATCAAAGACCCATTAGAACATATAAAGAGCCGACAATAAGAAGAATCTCTGCTGCTGCTGCTACACTTGATTATTATTTAGTTTCCTTTCCATTCAAATCTTTGTTTGGATCTCGGGGAACACAATTAACAGTTATTTAACTAATCGTACGATTTTTACATGCGCTCATGCAGACGCTGCTGTGATACGACAGTCACATGACAAACCTGCTGCCTGCTGCCTGTTGTCTCCAGCCTGCAGCTGTCTCACTCTCCGGAGGTGAGACCTGCCATTGTAGTGCAGCTGGGCCTGAGCAGCAGAGGTCAGCTGCAGGTTGCACACCTCACACAGCGAGTACGTCCCGCTCTGACCTGAAAAGAAAAGCAGGGACGAGAGGAGAAAACTACATCGTTTGCCTTGAGTTGCAGAGGTATACTGTGCTGCCGGTCACTTAACAAGTCAGTCACCTGAGGATGTAGCGTGTGGGACAGAGAGACTGATGGACGTAGGTGTGGGCGTGTCCATCAGCTCTTGACACATCCCTCCAAAGCCAAAGATGTAACCACTGTCCAGGAACTGAGAGGGGCTGAGAGGAGTCTTCATCCCTGCAGACGAGAAGAGAGAGAAACACAAATTATTTAATTATTAGGAGATAATTCTCCCAAAAGTTGCATTAAGGTTTAAAATAACTAAACACCAAAGACATCTACTTTTTCATTTTAACTTGAATGAGCTTTGACACTTTGAATTGAAGAGCTGACCATCAGAAAAACCCTTATGATACAGGTTTTGTTGACCTGAACATGAGCTAAGCATGTGCTATAAAATAATATATAAAACTATAAAACAGCAGTGCAAAAAGGTTAGGGTTATTTTAATTTGCCTACATCAGGAGTCAGTGTGCCAGCTCCAAAGGTTTACCAGCTCTGTAAGGAGTCACTCTCAATTAAATAAGTTGCAAATCCACTCAGATGACCTTCAAAGAAACTGAAACTTGAATTTCCTAATCACACCAGTTAATATGTGTTACTAGAAGAGATTATCTTAAAGACACTAGCAAAGAAATAAAGAGAAACGTCACAAAATAGCACTGAAGTGATTCAACATAGCAGCTCTGCCTGCAGCGCCAGCGTGAAGGTGACACCAAACATCGGGATGTCTTAAACAGGAAGACTCACTGAGGGACGGACGGGTGGACGGACAGACACGAGTGAAACAAAGCGCGAAGCATCAAACGCTCACAGGGAAAGTGATGAAGTAATGACTAAGAGGAGAGAGAGGAAGCATGACATATGTGTGTGTGTAGGTCAAACCATGACTGCGTCCATCTGCTGTCCTGGCAGCGCTGGCAAGTCACATGACCTCCAATAAAACACACACACCCTCTCATTTAGTTTGGTTTACTGCCACAATGTACATTACTCATATAAATACAGGGACACGATCATTACGGCACTAACTCAAGGTCTACTTCCCTCTACTATCGATACTCGATTTCGTCTGTGTGCACAGCGGCACAAAATAACTCATTATGCTTGAGTGAAACTATAGTTTCTGCACATAAAAAACATAAAATTTTTACAAAAAAATGTGTGAAACAGTGCTGACAATCTTTTTTTCATGTGAATTTGTGACAGGTTACATTACACTCATATAGTCTGAGCCATTGTGAAGTTTAAATTACTGAAATCTGACTTAAATAATGTTAGGAAAGGTATTTGGTGTTTGCAGCTCGAGGAATAAAAGTAAAGGCCCTGCTCATCCCATTCCATTTTATTTATGTAGCGTGAAATCACAACAGAAAGGGCCTCAAGTGGCTTTATATTTTAAGGTAAAAACCATACAATAACACAGAGAAAACTCTACCAATCAAACTACCTCCTTTGAGCAAGCACTTGGTGAAAGTGGCAGGGAAAAACTCCCTTTCAACAGGAAGAAACTGCTGTCAGAATCAAGCTGTTCTACTTCTTCTTTTTTCTCTAGTTTCAGTCACCTGCTGCGTTGCTCATCTGCCTCTCCTGTGACTAGAAGGCTTGTTCTTGAACCCCCTCCTCAACTTTTCAACTGCCTGCTTGTTGACTGTTCTGCATCCCAAAGTGAGGAGCTGGGTATGCTGCTCTGCCTTGGCTCATAAGTCTGTCTATTTGAGCCTTTTGGGTTCTTTTGCTTTGCCCATTTCAGCCTGCCATTGTGCCGTTAGCGCCATGGGATTTCTGTGAGGTTGGCCACTAGAACAGGTGTGGCCTGAGACTAGCTGGAGTGATCTCTGGTGGAAGACAGTTTTAGATCTAGCTCAGTCTGCATCGGACAGGAGCGTAGCTTGAAACATCTCCCTTAGTTTTACTTTCCAGATTTTTCTTTGTTAATTCGTCATGCACAGTTTCCCTGTGTCTTGTTAGACACAGAGACTGAGGCTCACTGGTAATGCAGAATTTAGCGCTGTAAAGGTAAATAGAGACTAACACTCTAATGTGTAAGGCAGAGACACAAAACAACCCATGTCACGGTTCAGTTATCAGGAGACACTTCCTGTCTCGCTCCCTCTTCCAGCTGGTTGTTAGTGGTGGACTTTATGTTCTGCAGACAGCTGGTTAATCTGCCACTGTGATGAATTAGCTTCAAAAATGTGCGCGCGCGCGCACGCGCACACACATACTCTCACACAGAGCGAGAGAGCCAGCTCATGCTGACATCAGCTTCAGCAAGGGAAGGATTAAATATATCTGCTCTATTGAGCTGGGAGTTACACACACACTCTCACACACAGGTAACTACATGCACACATCTTCACTCTCACACACACAAACGCACAAAGTAAGACGCAGACAGAGAAAGACTAAGTCAGTGAACTGAGAGTTCAAGATCCAAATGAAATGTGTGTTTAGCTTCTCAGTTGTAGAGTGTGTGTGTGTGTGTGTGTGTGTGTGTGTGTGTGTGTGTGTGTGTGTGTGTGTGTGTGTGTGTATGAGTCTAATCCAGGCTGACCAGGCAGTCAGTAATCAGAGAGGCCAGCTGTGGGTTATAATCTCATACATACATAAGCACACACACAGACACACACACACACTGACACTGGTCAAGCAACAATGTAATTCGTGACTGATGAGGAAAAGTAGAAATATGTTCAGGTAGAGCTTCTCACCAACCTGGAAAAGACTTCAAAGAAACACCTGACTGAGTTTCAGCCTCATCTGCATGTCCTTAATGTTGCGGTGAAATGCAGTCCATCATCTCTGTCAGTGTGTGAATCTCAGACTGTGACTGCTAAATCCAGAAGTGCAAGACCATAATGAATGTCGAGAACTGAATACTAAACTCAAAGATGGCACCTACTCATTTGAATTAAAAGTGTTCAGCTGATGGCAACCCCCCGCCTGCCCCCTCGCTTCCATACTGTGCAGCCCACTGAGCATCACTGACCTAACAGACATCATAACACTCAGCCTTTAACTTTACATTGGGATGAAGCAGACCAAATAAAGCTCCAGTTAGAGCTATAATACCGCTATGGATTAAAAAGATAGATACAAAAACATAATAATCAGCCTTCTTTGCAGTTGGAGGTGTCAACAGTTTTACACACCCTTTTTACAACAGTGCTCTATGGGAATAACGCCATTAGGGCCGCTGGGGCTTCTTCTATTCTACCAGTGGTCACACTTTTAACATGAGTGGCCACTGTTAGAAATAGGGATGGGTATCGTTTAGGTTTTATCCGATACCGGTGCCAAATCGGTACTTTTGAAACGGTGCCGGTGCTCAAACGGTGCTCAAACCGGTGCTTAAAGAATGGAGAACACAAAATTGGTCCAAGAACCTCTCATGTTCAGCTGTTTTTTTGTAAAAAGATAACAATGTTAGCCTTTTCTGCAGCTATGGGGCATATATGGTATCACTCTTGGCTGGAAGCAGTGCTTAAACAATGGAAAAAACACAAACTTTGTCCAAAAACCTCTCATGTTTAACTGTTTTCCACTTTTTCTTTGGTCATTTTAGCCTTTTTGGCCAGGGTGAAGGGAGTATCTGCCATCAAACAAGAAGACAGCTGCATGTAGCTATGATGATGTTTGCTAGTTCACCTTACATGCATTAATGTAATAACGTGGTTAGCCTACTCAACGTCAATCACACAAGAACAACATTAAGCTACTCACGCAGAGTAGAACGGCTGCTGCTGCCATCAAATACGGCGCATTTCTCGGCTTTTAAAAAAAACGCTATGCATCGCCAGGTGTTTCATCAGATTTGAGGTGTTACCTCCTTTGACAGTATCACAGTATCAGCTTAAAGCACTTGTTGCTGCTGAGTTTGCATATTTTGCTGTGAAGTACAGCCAGACTTTTAACGCTTCGCCTTGGACATTTTTAATCTGTAGCTCTGCTCTAACAGAACGTACGTACCTGGCCCCGCCTACTATCCTCGGAAACGTAAAACAATTGGCTAAAAGTGTATCACAGCTCAGGAAAAAAAAAGCACCGAAATAAAGCACCGAAATGTGCGCTGCTTTTCGGTCTGGTTACTACCGTTTATGTCAGAACCGACACCGGTACCCATCCCTAGTTAGAAACATGAACAAAGTGACATTAATGAGCGCAAGTAGGTGTCTGTCTACACTAGTCATGCCAAGAAGCTAAATCCAGTCGGCCCTTCATAGCTTTTTAAAACACCCCTTTATGTTTAAATCTGGTTACAAGTAAAAGGTGACAAGTTACATTCTCAGGACGTGGAAAGATTCCTAGAAAAGTCTAAAACTGGCTTCACCTCATCGATGCTTAAAAAAATGCAAATAAATGGTGTTGGGATTTTTTGTTTCATTTGGTTGGGTATTTTTAATCAGTTTACTTCATGTAAACTGTCTTCTTTTTGTCCTGTGAAAAAATCAGTGCATCCCTCTCTAAAAAGAACATGACAGCACAGCTTAGGTTTGCAAAGTTGCATCTGAACAAACTAGAAACCTGAGGAACCAACTATCAAGTACGGTGGGGGAGGGGTGATGATTTGGTCTTGGACATCTTGCATACACTGAATCAGCTATGAACTCCTCTGGACACCAAAGTATTTGCAGTCAAATGTGACGCCATCTGTCCGACAACTAGAGCTCAAACAGGACAATGAATTCAAGAACACCAGCAAACAAAAGAATGGCTGAAAAGGAAAATAATCGAGGTGCTGCAATGGCCTGGTTAAAGTCCTGAAATCCTGTGGAAGGCCCTTAACAGAGCTGTGCATAAATAAAAGGCAGCAAACCTCAATGAAGTGAAGCAACCTTATAAAGAAGAGTGGAATAAAAGTGCTCCACATAAATGTAAGAGACTAATAAAATCATACAGAAAACAATTACTTCAAGTTATTGCTGCTAATGTTGGTTCCACAAGCTACTAAATCAAGGACTTAGTTTTTCAGACAACTGCAACGAGTCTTCTGAAATCTTTTATTTTTGCATAACTGTATGTCTCGTGCTGTGATGCATGCTGACCTTATTTGTGCAAGCCTGACTGAGAAGACAAATTTCAAGCTATCATTTTTTTTTCAAAAAATCTCTTCTCTGCTTATAACTAATGTCTTCTATAACCTTCAGCATCCTCTCAACAATGTTTTGGCGGGC